GTGTGCCGTGAGGAAAAATCCGGGTAAAGGGGTACACCCCGGGGCCCGAGACCTGCACGGCATTATGCCCTGCAGAGGACAACAACAACGACGAGTACTTTTTTAAACTGCCTACTAAACTATTCACCACTGTGCCTATGGTACCAGGGCGCCACTCCAAATGACAAATTTACATTAACTTTTCATATACTCCTTTTTGGCATAAAGCAATTTGATGATTATTTTATTAATTTGTTTACGAATTTATAGACATTTTTAATAAACAATTAGGTAGTTTGTTACGATCACTGCCCAAGGCCAAGCCAAAGGTATACTTTGACGTCGATACAGGCGTCATCAAAGGCGCCGCCTGCCCTTTTCAGTTCGCAGCACGTGCAAATTAAATGTCGAGTATTATTAGCAATTTTTTATTTATTAAATGCAAGTTGTATTTAAAAAATGGATGCTGGTTAAAATAATTACAAATATTACAATAAAATAGTTATAATGATTAAATACAGATATTAACACACATTTTACAACAGTAATTGAATAAAAATATTTAGGTAAAAAGGGTTCAATAAAAATATTAAAATACAAATTTATACATTAGAATTAGAGGTACTCGTCCGCGGATGGCGGTGAGTATCGCGCACATAGCGTTCAAAATAATCACCTCCACATTCTATGCATAGGGGACACCTAAAAGTTAACTGTTCACCGACACGAGATAAAAGTTGAGTATTTCGTATCGAGTGTGCGACCAGTATACACTAATGTCTTTACATGCCCCCACAAATGAAAATCCATTGGTGTGATATCTGGCGATCTGAGAGGCCATGCACAAGGCCTGCCACGTCCGATCCAGCGTCCAGGGTATTCTCTGTTTAAATAATCCTTAACTTGACGAGCATAATGCGCCGGTGCCCCTTCAAGTTGATAATAAATATTGCGTATCGATGTAAATGGTATATCCTCTAACAATTCCGGCAGCGTGTCGGTGAGAAAATTGTGATAGCTTTCACCATTTAATCTTTCTATGAAAACTGGGGCCCAGTAACGTTGTATTAATAAGGCCTGCCCACACATTGACACTAAACCGGTGTTGAAAGCTATGTGGTCTTTGTTCATGTGGATTTTTACAGCACCACAAGTGTTCATTGTGCGTATCAAATAACCCTATTCTGCCAAATGTTTCTTCATCAGTCCATAAAATGTTAGCTCGTTCAGCAGCTAGTAACCAATTACAAAATGTAACTCGCGCAGTTTTGTCAGCTTCGCTGATTTCATGAACACGGTGCAGGTGAAAGGGGTACTTCCCTTCATTGTGTATGACACTCCATGCGTAATATTGTGACACATTGAACTGTCGGCTGCTTCATAAGTGCTCGCTGCTGGATTGTCTTCAAAAAACTGCAGTATGTCTTGCTCACGTACTGTGCGCCGCGGTGGACGACCACGATCGATTGATACAGGCAGGAATTGCCCGTAATCTCGCAATCGCTGTGTAGCGCCTAGCATCGTAGCGTAGCACGGTGCACGTGAGTTGGGAAATCGCCTTGAATATTCACGGCAGGCTTCACTAACGTTATCATTGCAAATTGCTAAAATTTGCACCATTTCGATATGCTCAACATTTGAGTATCGGTATGCCATCGTAACAAGGTAACGTTCACAATAATCTCGCAATTAAAATATTTTTATTTTTTTATGAAAATAAAAATTGAAGAAATACATTTTTTTTCTTACAGATGTTGTTATGGTGTAAATAATATATTCCCCAAAGGTCTTCAGTAAATTAAAAATGACCCTGTATATACATATTGAGAATCTAAATTGAGAATTTAAACTATACGCGTGTGTGTGTTTGTTAGTTGCACGCACACATACACCGTGTATGCACGGCCTTCAAGCCACACCTCCGTGCCCGTCAGAGTGGGGAGCGTGAGGTTTTTTTTCGTTACGGAAGTTAATTTTATTAATAAACCTAATAAAGCATTAATTTTTTTATAATTTATAACAGGAAGTGAATAATACTTTTTTCGATGATTCTGAAAAAAGCCACAACTCTCTCAACTCAACTTATTTATGACTTTCATCTAAGTTGTTTCTAGGTTCGTCATTTTTCACGTCTAAACCGTAGAACTTATTTTAAGGTGGTTCCTTCAATGGCCCGTAGATGTTTTTTTTTGATGACAGCCCAAAAACGCATGGTCAATTTTGATTTATCGTTGTGTGCGTTATGGTCGGTACACGGACAACGATTTATCGTTGGAAACTGACTGCGCAGACTATTTTTAGACAGTTTTATCGAACGTGTGCAAGCCATCGGAGCAAGGTTCAAAATCAAAATCTATTCGATAAATCGTTGTCGATCGCGTTTGCACAGTTTTATCGTAGTGTGTGTACAGAAGTCGGATCATCATTCAATCATTCAGTTCGCTCGCAAGTTCGTTTCTTTCAGGAATGATTTGACTGAGAGCCAGTTTTGATATCAACGTAGAAAACTTCGTACGAGCGACCTGTAGCTAAAAACCTCAGAGTTGCAGACAATCTTTCATGACAACTTATCGCTTTTCTCATCACGGTTATTGCTTTATTGTATTAGTGGTGTAACTAAAATCAGGAGGTGTAAGTAAGTCACTTCATTCATCCTCAAATAATTGTGCCATTCTTTTGGGGAATTTTAACACTTTTAATGAATTTATGTGAGAGTATGACTTTCTTTTAAGAAGCCAATCCTTACACCACACACTACCTGATTTTCTTTTCTTTTTGCACAAAACAAGCCAGGCTAGCGCAAGCGCTTCATTGTCTTTCATCACGAATGACATGTTTTTCTTCTGAGTTTCTGCCGAGAACTGACGATCGACGCAGATATATGTAGGAGATGTGTGGGCGCACTACCGACGTTCGATAAACTGCGCAAATGAACTGTGCAGTTCGTTTGCGCAGTTTTATCGTTGCCGTGTATACCGTGCTTTAGCTAGTGATGTACATTTTACTTACGACAATCGATAAATGATTGTTAAGAAAGCGGTAAATAGATTAAAAACTAGTTTAGTGTACGAAACTGAATAACTTCAAAAATAAACTAAATTTTTAACATGATATTCTAAAATAATTAAAAAACATTCATATAACATGTACTCGAGAATAAGCAGCACTTACCTGCGTTTTGTTGGATTTTAATTCAATATGTACGAAATCCCAATAATCTCTGAAGAGGCGAGTGACTAACGAATAGACTTCCGATCTGATACTTGGCAAAAATTGTTTCGAAACCGATAGAAAAAAAATTACAGCCATGGATAGTTTCCAATAAAAATATTTTTAGTATAAAATGGGGACACGGAGTACATAATCGTTGTTTTATTTTTCATATTTTAAGTGTTCCTTTTAATAACCACAAACATTTATTAATTAATAATTAAATATATTATTAAAATTTATTTAACATTGGATTTAAATATGAATATGAATTTTAGTTATAATTTAATTAAAGAAACTTCTAGGAATTAAAACCGAGTATTTATTTCTATTCCTATTCTTGTTCATGGGCAAGCTTATCGATTTTTTTAAACATTCAAGATAAAATAGACATTAATTTTGATATGGTTGCAAAACTAAACGTTTCTTGTCATTGACGACGTCTTGAGAATTTTCTTGTGAAATGTGCAATTATCAGGATTATTTCTATTATCAACACCATAGTCACTCACAGAAAAAGGAATTATTTTGGAAAACAATTACTGACTAAAAATAATAAAAATTACAAAATATCTAGGAGGTTATTTATTGCATGCCGACTTGTGCCGACCTGTCATTCAAATTTACTATCCTTTTCTATTTTTGCTTTACTACCTTAAGGAATAAGGAATATTCTTCTCATTTTAATACGATGTCCGTTTATTATTGTCCTAAGTGTAAACCAGCAGGTTTAACCCATACACTTCCTTTTTTGGATTAAGAAGAAAATATAATAACTTTATCTATTTGATTATTCATCAGTGTTTTTATTTTGTATTAGGAGAGGTACAATCTAGCATGAGGTTGTATTTTTAATTTCTGTACTAATGAGATTTACATAATTTTTCACAGAAAAAAAAACTTGCATAGAAAACGAGTGCATCCCAATACGGAGATAAGTAATTTAAAGTTAAAGTACGGAGAAAAGTAAAGTTAAGGAAAGTTAATTTAATGGTTTATCTAAAAAAGATTTGAAGTTGATTTTGACACAACAAAATATTACAATTGTTTTGTCTGATCTTAATGTCTGTGATTGTGAATTATTCATAGAAAAGTTGTTAGAAATGTTTTGCCTGCTGATATGAATCTTAAGTTGTTTATACGTTGAGTGTCTCTGATATTTTATCATCATAAGCTGTCCTCTAGATTAAACTGTCGTCAAAATCTCCTAAGAACTAGAATACTTAGAATGCGACACATAAGACTAGGCCGTAAGGTTTTAACATTTGCCTACCGTAATTTTCAAATCGTAGCAACTCTCTGCTCTCTGACGAGAGCCATAAATAATAAAATGGCGTCCTGGTTTTTGTGTGTGCGATAAAATTATTGTTTTCATAAAATTGAGTTGTACAGTAGAATGTTACTATCCATAAACTGATTTTAATATGAAATAACAAAATGATTTACTATTGTACGCTAAATAATGCACAATTGATGATGTATCTGATAAATTACGTGCGTGTCAATTTTGCTTCTAGCGTCCTATGCCGCCTTTTTTACTGACTTCTTTAGTCTAATTCTCTAGTATTTGGCATAATTTTTCTCGAAGACTTATTTACTTTTCTTAACTAATATGTATAAGTTTCACTGTGACTAAAATAAAGTGTTTATGCGGCGCTCTGTTTTTGATGGGTGCGTTTTGCATTAGTAGTTGTGAAAGCATACATGTCGCTAATGGACGAACTGTCATGAGGATTCGTGTTTACTTTTGGGATAGTGCATTTGTCTTTGTTGGTTTGTTTTTTGGCGCGGCATAAGAATTATTTTCAAAGATGTGTATGCCAACGCCAAGTAATGTGTCGGGCTTCGGTTATTCATGGGGTTTTACCAGTTCCGCCGATCTCACGAAGTGTGAGGTGGAGACACCTAGCAGTCTAAGTTATACTTTAGGTAACACGGTAAGAATAACTTTTAATATATTATATTGGTTAATTACTAAGTAGCCAAAGACTTATAGATACTAACTTACTATGATCTAAAAATTACTTCTCCACTCAGTTTATTTATATTTTGTGTTTAAAGACAAAGTTATAATAAGTGTGTGTTGTTAAGCTTCAAATTTTCAAATAGCGCTGTTAGAATTTACCTACTTGTTATTTCTTTTAATAATATAAGTAAGTATCTACATTACATATGTAATGGTTTATGTCCTTTTTATATTAGTTCATGCCTATAAATTGTATGTTATTTACTGTTATAAGTTTAAGTCTAAGAGATTTGTCATAAAAATACAAAAGTGCTCAAGTGTTCAAAGTCCATGCACATTTATTCTTATTTTATTTGTATTGGATTAGTGGTATTGAAAAACAAATTAAAAATCATATAATTGCCTGTCATTACGCAAGCTAAGTTTTTTAACATAAAATGTGATTTTCAGGTTTCACCAGAAACCACTTTGACTGTTATGTCACACAAGACTCCACAAGTGCAGGAAAAAGTTGGCACAGTTGCAGTGGCAGTATCAAATTCAGCAGCACAGGTTACAAGAGTAGTAGCAGGAACACCAGTCACAGCACGTAGAATGTTTGTTGTAAATGAGGCACCTGCACACACCCTAAACAGGGTTACACAGCAAAATCAAACTGCCACAATACAAAGTAAGTATTAAATAATATAGATATACCATTGTTGTGTAACTTGAAGAAAACGCTGTGTTTTACATAGCATTTTACAGTCTCAGTTCTTACTCAGTGATAACTAAAGTGATAAGACCTTTCTTGTGTAAAATTAATAGATTATGTAAATTAATATTTTCCCATATTGCATACATGAATAGTTTATTAAATTACAGAAAAAAAATGCAGTTTAAAGTGGTTTTTCAATAGTGGAACTTTTTTTAAAATTACAAAATAAGGGTGACAAACAAGCACAAAGTCCATCTGATAGTAAGTGGCATCTAAACCTATCCTCGATTACGAGGAAATAGTATGTGAGCTCAAATTGCAATTTAGTCCTTGTGCCCCGCAGCCTCGGGATATTTTGTTTAAGGGCGTGCAGGGTTTCTTAAAAATTGTGCTTTATTATTTTACTAAACCTTAGGGAACCAAAAGAAAATAAATGAGTAAGAAAGTATTCATTTAGATACTGCATTTTTTTTCGCAAAACCTTGTTTCCTTTGTAAATTTAATTTGTTTCCCATTATTATAAATCACTGAAATACATTCGAATGTAAGTACGCGCGCCAGCAAGCGACACAGGTTTCCCCTCCAACGGCCAAAGCTGGACTAGCTTGGTGAGTAATCGGAGAGAACCAAGGGTTAATTTAGAAAATTTAAAAAGTATTTTGCTTAGGTATCTTATGGTTACATTATTATTGATAATCTGGTAACCTCACATGAATAATTAAAATATTACTAGTGTTTTTTCTTATAATACAGAGGTTACTATGGAATTTTTTTTCTCTGGAAAAAATTTCAAGGAATCATGTTTCTGAAAAATATTTTGCATCATGTAAATCCTTAACTTTCTTGAATATGAATCACGAAACAAATGATTAAACACTGTAGATACAATCGAGTTTACTAAAGTTACTAAAACAGTTATTTAACTGCTGTTACCTCTTAAGAATAAAAATGTAGATGCATTGCCACCCCTGAGGACTAAGATGGACTGCCGCATTTCCAGTAAAAGGGCCTCCGGTTATCTACACTCACCAAACAAAACACAGCAGCATTAAGTTGCTATTTTAGGCTTGTATTCTGTGAGGGCATTATCCTTCCACAGTTGAGCTGACCCATTCGTGCTACAACCATAATATACATTGAAACCTGGTTAAGTGAGAAACCTCTATTATTTAAAAGTACAATGAGGTTCCGGCACTTTTTCGTCGAATTAATTACCTCTGTTAATGGGACTTTCGAACCTGGTTAAATGAGATTTGATTTCTACGATTATTTCGATGTTTATCTCTATAATTGGGACTATGAAGCTCAATTCCCTTTATAAGTGAGACAATTTATCAGGTTGGAACAGGTTACGACATGACATTTCGAACTTTATAAGAGGGGGCCTCTGTAAATGAGACAACTAAATTTTAAACCTGTCTAATTGGAAAACTGGATAAATAAAAACCTCTTTAAATGGTACAAAATCCTTGGTCCCTTGAGATCCCAATTAACCAGGTTTCCTGTAGCTGCAGCATGGCTCTACCACTTATAAAAAACTACTTGTCTAAGAACTATTATTGTATACCTACAGGTTTTTTGGAAGTTACGTGGAAAAATTTGTGAGTTAAAGCGGCTTTATAATAATCTGTGCTATGTCTGTGACATAAGAGCCTTGATACCTCAGGGGATAAGCAGTTTGTAAATTTCACAGTATGTGACTGCCCAGGTTCATCCCGCCCGACTAGTAAAATTATTAATTGCAGCTTTAAGTGTCGCTTTAACACATGCTTGGTTATGATGAGAAACATTGTAGGGATTTTTTTATTTAAAACTCAAGAGAAATTTAGTATGTGTAATTATTCCTCTTATCAGCTAATACTCTTGTATTTTACTTTAAAAAATGTGCTCTTTTTTACAGCCACAAATCTGGCATCAAAACCATTTCTAACACCAATTGGTCCTATCCAGTTAACGGCAGAAGAATGTAATGAAATTTTAATGAAACGAGCACTACAAGCTCAGGGAATAGCAACACCAGTAATAGATGCATCACAGTTAAACCATACATTGTTAAATGGCAGTCTGAAAACCATAACAGAGGTAGCTCAGTCACAAGCAGACACAATTCAAACATCAACTATTCATCAACACTTGTTGCATACCAAGCAAGAGCCTGGGACAACAAATAATTCACCCAAAGTAAGTACTATTATTACATACTCAACTTAAAATATTACATCATGTTAAGTAAATAATATTAACCCATTGACTCGGCTACCGATCTAATCAGATCATACAATACCTACCTTACGTCGGCTCTGGTACGGGTCGAGTTAGATCAGGTCGGATCAGAAGTACTGCCTTATGAGAAAACTATTTTTTCCTTTAAAACAAAACCAAAGACAATATGCAATAGATAATAGTATCAAAGACAAAGATATGCTCTTTTATTTTAAACCATAACCTGGCAATGTCTCTTAGAAAAAAAAAAAAAGAAATCACTCTGAACTTTCGGCGTTCCACGTGTCGTTTTGACGAAGGTGCTCCGTCTTTTTTTATAGAATTTTATATTTGTGTCTGGACTAAAAACAAAATTTTTATACTTTTTTATATTCCTTGTAATATAGTGAACACGTAGATATATAATTTGTGGTATAAAAAGTGAAAAGTAAATTGCCAAAAGTACTTCAAAATCTGGAAGACATCATAAATGTGTTATTTTTCAAATTCTCATTTATTTTTAGTGTAAAATGTAAGTAAAAATAGTTTTCTTACATATTTCAAATAATTTGACTTGAATTATTTTTGAAATATTGTTCTAAATGTCACACAGATAAAATATTATTATTGTTTTTTTTTTCAATTTTTTAATATTTCAATATTTTGGTATGAGTAACAAATGGAAACATATAAAACATAAAAATATACATATTTCCAAACATTTTCATATAAATTTCTCCAAAAACAAAAGTGTAGAATTCAAATTAGTAGTAATTTTGTCACTAAAATTGAAGTATGTGCTACTACTATGTTATACAGGGTAATTTATGTATTTTATTACAATTTCTAGCAACCAAAAATAATTTTATACATTCAACAAGAAATCCTGTAAGTTTTATCCATAAATATTGTCTCAAAGTGAAAATATAGCAAAATTTGCAATATAGCAAAAAAATTTTCTAACTTACAAATTTTCCCGCCATTAAGGTCCCGAGCGAACGGGAGTATAACATGTCGCGCGCTGTCAGAGCCATGGGGTTAATAATTAGAATCCCGACTTGGCAAATTTTTTTCATTTTTAATTTGATGCTTATTTTTCAAAAGTAATATGATAAATATGAGTAGAATCTCTGCATAAGGATGTCAATTCTTTCCAAAAAATTGATTCTTAAATCGATTCAAACCGAAATCTGACTAATCGATTCACAAAAAAATTGAGGTCAAAAAAATATATTTCTCAAAAATCAATCTTTTTTCGATTTGCTTTCAGATTCTTACAAGGTACAGCTTACCAATGTTACTTATTTTTTCTTTCTTTAATCCATTAAGGGTAAGCAAAAGGAACTGAGCACATAGCAGTTTTGTTAGTTTTTGGATGGAAAAACTATTGTTCTTTACAAGTTTGGGTACATTCAACAAATTGCAAATAATTTTATAGTTATATAAACAGAAAAATATTCAATATCGATTTTCTAGGGTGAAATATGTATTCACTGGATCGATCCAGTACTATATATCGATTAAAAAAATCAATCTTTTTAGCACAGGAAATCAATTCTTTGATTAATTGATCTCAGATTAACATGCCTATCTCTGCATATTTATTTATCATATTCATATTACTTTGAACAAGAATTCTGTTAAAATTTGATCTCCGCTCACACCACAATGATTTAAAATCACAAATGTATATTATGCTGAAACTTTTATCTCTGATAATTTATTTTAAGGTAATGTGCCAATATAGAGGTACTGTGAAATACCCTTTCTGGTTCCAGTACACTCAGAAATGATAGAAATGTCCTAATGAAAAAAATAGCTAAGCAATTTTTTGCATACTCCACGCTGGCATAAAGTTTTTATCCCCTGGTCTAATCTGCGTGCGATCTGTATGGCATGAAACCTTGTCGAAGTTCATTGAAAATGACACACTTCTAAAGAGAAGTAGAGTTAACAAATAAATTCTAATAAAATCTATTTATTTGCATGTTTTATGTCTGTTAGCTCTTATATTTTGTTGTTGAATTGTGGCCTTTTACGTCAAGAGGTTTTATAAATTTGTTATCTAACTTTACTGTAATAATTTTTCTGTACTAATACATTTTACCTTTTATCGACTTATTACGAGTTGATAAAATGACATAAATCTGGAAAATAACAACGAAAATAACAATTTTTAACAAAACCAATAATTTATTTATTATTTTTCATTTATAAGGTTATGGTCAAGCAGATTTTGGTGATATAACCACATTTTTCGTAATGCTAGAATTTATGGTTTCGAATGGTAGTTTGAGCAAGTTGTCAAGTTTGCTTTTTAAAAGTATTCACAGATGTTGAATAAACAAAATTGTTATTCTGTTTCCAAGGAAATGATGTGCAGCGAGAAAATTAGCAAGATCACCTTTTAGTCTGAGATGGTGGCCATGACAGTCTTTGTATTTTGTTCACTATTATCTTTTTCTATAAGGTCTCCGCATAGGTGCCTTTCTGCCAGTGAAGTAATGGTAATGTGTATAATCTATCCTCATGGCTTGTGACATAGTGTTTGTGGCATCTTCATAGCTTTCTGTTGCACTCTTTATCTAGTGCAGTCTCTATTTATTTATTTGTAAGTTATAGGTATTACACAACACAATCTGTGCTCTGTGAACTCTATACTATGTAAACTGTACTACATGGTTCCAGACCTTCCATATAGTAATAGTAGACATTGGTACATTTACAACCAAACTTAAGTGTGAATAATTTGCACATTAAGAAACAATTAGTAGATGGAAAAATACACTCAAATCTAAATAGTATAAAATATAAAAGAAAAAAAAAAACAATGGATAAATTTTGTTTAAAGTTTATTTGTTAGACTTAAATTATGTATATAGGACAATGTGATTGGGAGTTTCTTATTTCATGTTTTGAAAGTGTAGATGTGTATGTGTAAATAAGATATAACAAGCATCAGAAATCAGAATTACCACATAATCGGAAGTACATTTGCAACAACTGGATTAACGGGACAGTCAACACTATGTAACTGCGTCTTCTGGTGACCTATTATGCGAGTTTGTTGACGCAACGGCTGGTGGGTAGATAGTGCGTGCCTCAGTTCCAAAAGGTCGCAATCCCATTCTGAACGCGCGCGGATTCTTAGTTCAAATTTTCACTATGCATTTTTTATATTAGCATTGCAATTTATCTCTATTATATGTAAAAGGAAAAAGAATGTACAGGCTATATATTGTTGTGACAGATTTTTTCTCATTAAATAATAGGTTTTGCAGCTGGTAAGATAACGCCGCAGAATGTATGTGTTAGCTGACTTCACATATCATGGAAAATCTTTTATTTCTCAGACATGCAAGGTTTTCTCACGATGTTTTTCTTTACCATTAAAATCATTGTGAATCTACACTTAAAACTACAATTAACAATTTCCGAATGACAGATCAAACTTCCATTATACCCAAGCAAACCGCTTGGGTATAATAGAATTTTCTGAGCTAACACAGCTAAATGTATTCCTTGTAATTATTATTATTGTTAACATTCCATCTAATATATTGAAATAATTAATGTCTTTTGTACAGTTATGTCTTGAAATGTTAATTTCTGTATTAGATTAGACAATGGCATAAAGTCCATGTTGTATAGTAATGGAATGGCAGGCAATATTTTCACAGACAGAGTTGCTGAACACTGCAGTGCTGATGACGAGTGCTCCACCCGCCGTTAAAGAGCGGCCGTATTCGTGCGACGAGTGTGGCAAGTCATTCCTGTTGAAACACCATCTAACAACACATGCAAGGGTCCATACCGGTGTGATTCATTTTATATTTTAAATAAATAATATTTTGTTATATTCTTATAACAGGCTGAATGTGCCCCAGTTTTGTGGGCAATTTTAAAAATATCATGTATTCAAAATTTATTTGTTTTTAAACTATGAAATTTTTTGCTAATCGCAGTTAATGTTATAGCCTATTAAAGTTCACTGCGGATCATAGGCCTACTCCATAGATTGCCTCATAGGAAGGGATAGTTGCTATAATAGTTATTAGGAAACGGCTGCTGTGTCTCCTGATTTGTTTCCTTCTGTCGCCTCTTACGACACCTAAGAGATGATATGGGGTACTGGATATACCATAGAATACTATAATACATACATAATAGAACAGCGGAGTGGTCATAGTCCGTGTAGCCACTAACATGTCAATTCACACTTATAAATGTCAATACAATCAATCGTTTTCAATTTTCGTGTCAAACGTCGCTGCATGCAAATTATTTAAAAAATGGCAAATTGTGCAATAATTATGTGTCGAAAGGACAGCAGGAAATGGAATTTAAATAAAGGACACATATCCTACAACCAGTAAGTCAAAACTATTTATATTTTGTAAATATTGGAAACAAAAATAAAGAAATATTGATGTGTCAAAAACATAATCAAAAGACAAAAATGTGTAAATTCGCACTGTCTGTCAATACAGCGAATCGGGTTTGTATTAGTGATAACACGACGTAATTGCTTGTATGTGTGCTCCCGGCGACACCGATCCTCGTACATAATAAGGTTGACAGCCATTCTATTGTGAATTATAGTATTCTATGGGATACTCTTACGGTACACTACACGGTAATAAGAAATTACTAATTAAATAAAACTAATTTTTAAAGTTTTTATCATATTAATTTATTAATGCCTGGATATGATAAAAGCAGATTGATTTTTTTTTGGCTCTAAGATAGATTCTCCTACGAACACCATCAGACTATAGACATCAGTTGTTACTCTTCCTAAATCTATGCAGCTATTTGTAGATTAAAATAACAGTTTAATATACTAAATGTGAACATAATTTATGTTTGTTAAAGGTGAACGCCCCCACGTGTGTGCACATTGCGGTAAGGCATTCGCACGCAAGCACTGTCTCAATACGCACTTGCTGCTTCACTCTGCAGACCGTCCCTACAAGTGTCAAGAGTGCAAGATGGCGTTTACATTGAAGCATCATCTTGTTACGCATTTGAGGGTAATTGTAATAACACTATTTAGTTGTATAACTAATTAGAAAGCTAGTGAAGATGTTTTAATGTTCATTACTCTGTGAACAATTAAATAGATTTGGATAAAATTTTGCACACAGAATCAATGACAGTACTGTAATGAGTTTGGATCATTAACTTATAAATTATTGTTATATATACCACCTAACACAAGCACTTTTCAGTTACATAAATGTTAGTAAGGTATTACTGATATTATTCTGAAAACATAAAAACAATATAAAAGGGAAATAAGTAAATAAATAAACCATGTCCTAGATTAACTTCTAGAATACTATGTACCATGAAACACCTGAAGGTGTAGCTATTACCCCACACAAATGGAGCCTTGGATAAAAGGTAGTGAAGATATTTTAATGTCAAATGGAGATTGATAAATGCTTTGAAAATAAAACGAAAAATAGTGTGAAAGTTACTTTAATATTGTTACTACAAATTGGATCTCAAATTATAGTTCAAAGTGACCATTAACAAAAACTACAAGTTTAAATTTGTTGCCCACACAGTGTACAGACTAGTGTCTAATCTGTCGTGTATCTATCTTTACTATTATAAATAAAGTGCTACATAAAAACATTTGGAGCTTTTCTAAGCGAAATACCAAAAGAAAAAGGTTTCTTAGAATAGATAAGGTTGGAAAATCAATTGAAAACCATTACTAAAACAGTACAAACTATTTGTTTTTGTTTTATTTATCACTGCCTTTATTATCTGTCATCTGAGTCATCTTTGTTATTTATTATTTTACATGGTAGAGCCATGCTGCAGCTATACTAAGTGTATATAGTTGTGGCACGAATAGGTCGGCTCGACTGGGGAAGGACCACGCTCTCATGCATACTGTGCATGAAGCGTCCTTCCCGTCGACACTATCTGCAGCTTAATGCTACTGTGTTTCGTATGGTGAGTGTAGAGAACCGGAGACCCTTCTTACTGGAAAAGAGGCATTCCATCTTAGTCCTCAAGGCAGACAACGCATCTTCATTTTGATTCGCAAACGAGGATAGATACAGATGTCTATGGGCCACAGCAACCACTTACCATCAGGTGGACTGTGTGCTCACTTGTCACCCTTTTCCTATAAAAAAAAAAATGATATTGGTTGACCCCAGGTGCACAGTCGCGGGCGGCCGTTCATGTGCGGCGAGTGCGGGCGCGGGTTCCCGCTGAAGCGACACCTCGTCACTCACAGCAAGTACCACGCCGGCGAACGACCATACGTCTGCAGCGATTGCGGCGAAAACTTCGCGCAGAATGTAACTCATTTCAAAATATAGCACAACCACATGTACAGCATTGTCAATACACTAGAAGAAATAGAGTGGTGCCTGTTACGTAATTATGTTTTGAATATTTTAATAATTAAATAGAAACATGATTGTTTTTTCATATGCTTAATTCTCATAATAGATCACGTTTGCAGGCACTTAATACACAAAATTAAAAATAGAAGCAGTTGAAACGACAATTCATATTCAAAATTACTTAAATAATTTTTTTAAGTCTTATTCCCCTCTAGGATTTTCTCCTATATTATGGAAGCAGCTCACACATTGTATAAATTGCACATGGACAAACATTCAGTTATGAAACAGTTATGAATTTATTCTTGAAGGTCATATAAAAACTTGCAATAAATATGATGTACACAAAAATATAAGTAGTTTTAAAAAAATAAGTGAAATTACTTTGTAACTACTCAACTTCACAGAAGTCGAGTACTTCATTGAGTCAGTTCAGTCAGTAATTCATTTTTGGGCCAATGTAAAGGTGCACAAGAAAATCCCCGAAAATATACAAAATTTGTCCAATGGCTAGTTCAAAAATTTTATTATTAGGCAAAGATTGTTTATAGACAGTTATTATAATATTAAGGAATTTATGGATTGATAATATCTTCAGAGAATGAAGTGATTGCTATCACATTATTTCTAATTTGTTTTGTGTAGCGATTGTAGTGTTCTTTTTTTATAAAAAAAAAACTTATAACTACTTCTTTTAGCCTTAGCCCTATGTTTGACCCTATGAGTGGCCTATGTTTAGCAGTTGTAAGAAGCTACAAATGGAAACTGAAACAGCATCTTCTTGATATAAACTCAAAATTATAAAAAAAACTGTGGTAGCCTACCCATGCCAAGCTTGACATCTATGGAAAAATCACTATGAGGCAGTCTATAGGGATGGCCTATATTCAACAGTGTACTTTTGATATGCTGTAAGTAAGAAGTGAATGTAATAGGCCGAGGAAAAGTTTCTTTGTACAAATATATGAATACTAGTATAAAATAGTAACTTAATGCTGCTGTGTTTCGTATGGTGAATGTAGAGAACTGGAGAGCCTTTTTATTGGAAACAAGGCATTCCATCTTAGTCCTCACGGGTGACAACGCATCTGCATTTTGATTTGTAGTTGAGCATAGATGTAGATGTCCATGGGCCACAGCAACCACTTACTCTCAGGTGGACTGTGTGCTCGTTTGTCACCCTATCCTATATAAAAAAATGAAGGTTTGTATAAAATTTAAAAAAAAAATCTGTAGTTGTATTGTACTGTTTGTATCTGGTTGGTTATAATATCAGTACATATAGGACGTTAAGAAAAAATACTTTTCTGCCATTTTTCAATTGTTTTTCTGTCCACCAAAATGAGTGAATCTGATGAAGAAATTCGATACATTCTAAAATTTTATCACAAAAAAGAGACAGGGACAGGGTCGGTAAGAGTACCACAAAGTTGGTGCAATTGTTTTCAGTCTGAGAATTTTGATGTCTAAGGTGCTGGTCGCTCTGGTTGCCGCATGTGGATAAAGTAGATTCTATTTTTGAAGAAGTGGAGCGTCGGGAAAAACCATCAATTCTGATCTCCACTACCGACAACTACTGACACTCAAGCAAGAAATTAAGAAAAAACAGCCCAACAAGAAATGGAGTGGTCTTTCATCATGATAACGCTAGACCACACACATCTTTGGTCAAACACCAAAAATTGAAAAAGTTTAGGTGGGAAGTGTAAATGCATCCACCATATAGTACTGACCGTTGGACCCTCTGATTTTCCCCCTTTTCTGTCATTTCAGAATTCTTTGGGTAGTGTTAGGTTAACATAAAGAAAGGACTGTCAAAATAGTTGTCGGATTTTTTTGATTAAAAATCCTAAGATTTCTACAGCAACGGGATTATGTCACTACCTACAAGATGGCAACAAGTAATCGAACAAAATGGCACATATATATTATAATTAAAAGTAATTAAACTGAAAAAAAGATTCAATTTGTATATAAAATACATATAAACATACATATAAAAATACATATATGTTTAAAAGACTTGTTAAAGAGCATTATCATTCACACCATAATGATTAATTCGTTATGTGTAGATATTCATATACGTAATATTAAAAATATAATATATTGAATTATATTATCTTTTTTTCTTATAATATATTATATTGGTATTTTATATTTATGTATATATATATATGTGTGTATGTATATGTATATATACGTATATATATGTAGGTTTGTAAATTTGTATTTTATTGTATATGTTAATGTTAATAAAGTGCACACATTGACTACTTCTATTTCCTTCAACTATCCTTCGATAGGCCTGCTGGAAGAAATTTCTTTATGGAATAAGCAGTGCCTTTGTACATAATTTTGTTTTTACCATTTTCCTGTCAAAGTATGTGTGTACATAAACTGTTAAATAAATAAATAAATAAATAAACTTATTAGTATAAGTATTAGAATAGAAACAGAATAGAATAGAATCATTTTTATTCAATATAGATTACGAGAAGCAGGACATTTTTCAAATAAAACTAATTTACAATGATTATTATTTTATACAATTAGTATAAAAACGTTTAGAAAAAGTATGGAAGCGATCACCTCATTTCCAGGAGTTTTATCAATCATATACTGTTTAGTAATATGATAACCTTTTTTAAACCATTTTTGCTTAAGGTGGATGCGTCGACCGTCCGCCCACACATTTTTTTAACCAAAATATACACTAAACACAGACACTCTTTCTTTAAAACTAATCATTTTATCACTTCTCTACAATGAAATGTGTACGCCTCTGACCTTTATAGGCAATAACTTACATTATATACCGAGAAAAACAATAGTGAAATCCCGGAAAAATTTGACACTTCTTTAGTAGTGTGCGTGACTTTTGACAAGCAAACGAAAGGCGACGTTTAAACATTGGCACGCTAGATGGCATCCAAGTGATCTTAAATAATTCTGATAAATCAATATCTTAAGTTCAATAATTGGTTAATTTCCTTTCCAATCGTTAAAAAAACAGTATAAAATTACATAAAACTAATGACCTTAGACACCTATGTTTTTTTGTAAACAATTTTATTACTTATTATCCTTGTGTGGCATACCAAAAGTCGTAGGTAAAGCGACGTTGCCGTCCTTTCTGACAACAAACTGCCGTAGACAGAGAAGTCTACGGTACTAACGTATTCCTGACCTTGAATTGAAGAAACAAAAGCGTTGCCAAACTTACGTACGTTCACTTGTTTGACTTGTATAAAATGGGTGCGTTTGGCAGAAAAAAGCGCTAGCAAGCGCTTGTAAACAAAATGGCGATCGTAAGCGGTAAGTGCTGTCAAAGCGTAAGTAGCTATTTTCCTCTAGGACACGATGTTAGTTTTAACCGGGGAACCTAACCTAATTTAAATATATGTTTGTAAAGTATTCATATTAAAAACTTACCAATCATGAATTTTTAATAACATGTATATGTTTATTCATGTCATTATATTACTTAAAACTAATATTGCACAAAAGAACTTATAAACTCTACTTCAAAACAAACAAATTAAATAAGCAAAATGGCGGATTGTGTCAGCGCTACTAAAGTAGCACTCGTGTCCTGGCCGAAAACTATTTTAGCGCTTGTAAGCGCTTGCTAGCGCTTTTTTCTGCCAAACGCACCCAATATATTCTGATTTCGGTTGTCACGCGCTATGATTTGCGCGCGGAATTTCTTGTGTATTATACATATTTTGTATGTATGTTTTCATTGATTCGAATTGCAATATTTCTCTAGTATATATTTGAGACTATATTGTAATTTATCGTAGGTATAGTAAATAATTATTTTAAAAACGCAATTATATTTTCGATAGTGTTATTAACAGCAGGCTGGCCCGTGATTTTTCTGAAATATCGTCACAATACTGATTACTTACGTCATACGTGTCGGTGTTTCATATATGAATGTGTTTGAATATGTTTTTGGTCAACAATAAATACAATTATTATAAATCGGTAAACTACCAAAGTAGTCACAAAATTAAACTTGCAAACATTTGCTAAGTATGGTTTTGCCGGGTTACATTAAACACCCTTTACGCATTTTGCAAACAGTTTCAGACAGACACACATTATTAGTTTGTTATATTTTTTAGAGCTCAAGTTCACTCGTCACTACGTCACACCTTATGATGCGTTCAGAAAGAAATATAATTCAGTTACATAAAATCCTTTTTTCTGTTCCGTGCTTTATTGTTTATAAATAAATAGCTTATTCTAATCTGAGTTATATTTTTTTATTCGTCGGCCAATTCTACCAGGAATATAAAGATAACATTGAAATAAAAAGATAAGTGAATTTTTGTACATTTTAGTGTTCTAGATCTTGTGTTCCGAACGCAACCCTACATATAGAATTGAAGGAAGATTTGTATATCGATTTTGATCAAGATCAAGATTTGGAAATCGTGTGTTTTGGAAGTTATATTTAGATTAAAAATACATACTGATAAAATATGAAGAATATTTTTTGATATTACTGACATAATAGAAAAAAACTGAACTGGTTATTAAAATGAAAAATCATGAGTGCAATAAAATTTTCGTATTTTTAAAAAAATACTACAAAAAGGGCTCGAAATAATAGATTTTCTCACAAAAGAAGGGAACTTGAAAAAAAAGGGAAAAAAGTCAATCCTAAGACAAGACGCGAACTATGCAACTACGATTTCGCGACAGTGCGTTATCCACTTGAGCTATTACAATCATTATTATATTGTTAAAATTTACCCTCTTATATTATAGCAGTTTTTCATTGCCTGAAAACGGGGATAAAACGACATTTTATGAAAATCGTTGGAGCCGTTTTCGAGATTCTGATTATATATATATATATATATATATATATATATATATATATATATATATATATATATATATATACAAGAATTGCTCATAGGTATAGGATTTATATTTTAGTTTTACTAAAAGCTTTTCTTGAGTGCTTCGAATTTCAAATCTCCTGGTTATTATCACAAAATAAATCGTGTTATAGATTTGTTGTTATCTCTTGTTTGTGAATTATAGTTTCTTACGTGTTGGTTATGAAATGTCTAATTATTGTAATAATTGGTACTGTTACAAATCATCAGTGTTATTAGTTTTGAGTGAATAGGCATGTATCAGTATAATTATGTTGCTTCAAATAGGTACTTCTGTTTTGATAAAAAATTCAATAGTGTAATGTAATAAAATAAAACTGCGTTATATTGTAATCAATGTTGACATAATTTATTTCTAAAAGTTATAAATCAATTAAATAGTTTACGCTAACAAATATAAATTTTATTTTTACAACAATCGTACATAGCGTTTTGTAGTTCTGTCTACCCAATCTACACATACACAAAAATTAAAAACTTGTTTTTTTACATACACGCCATCTAGTGTTCCAGCTTCGTAAACGTAGGGATACGTCTGTGTGTGTAAACGACCCTATATTCAATGACAGATGTTATAATCAAAATTAATGTCGAATTGGGTGGATTTTGATGCAATGATATGACCCATTCCAATAAAATGTAATATCCGATAACCGCTAAGTCTACTCCTACGACTTAATAATTTTCCAATTACACAAAAGTCCAAATAAACTAAAAATGTTGACTTCAGCGCCATCTTGCCGGAGAATGGCTGGGAACAGTCCGTAGGTTTCATCTTAATAAAATTTTTTAACCTTTTGATAGATAAGGTGTGTTTATTTTCTGTGACTTTTGTAAAAGAGTACACATTGTCCCATGCAGGAATTACTAACTCTGCAGTTAAGTAACTGATATAACTAGCTTGTGCTTGTTCATATTATTTACAGAATGTACATTACTATTTTTAATAAACTATTTTTATTCTTGTGTACACATACATAAAATTTTCGTAAATATGCTAAGAGGTCAAAGTTAATATAATTATTTCGTTAAATTTGATTTGAAGACTGATGAGAAGATCGTGGAGCTTGAAGAAGGGATACACAAGTTGCACTTGGGATATTATAGGATTATTTGAGGTCCGAAGACATGGTAATCCTTCCATCCATGGTAGTCCACGGTAGGTATCAAGTGCATCTTTGAAGACCTCTTTATGTCTCAACAATATACTATCCATTTCCAATAACTCAGCACTGGAGACATAATTGACATTCATAGTAATGTTAAGAGGGTTCAGCCAGTCTCGACCCAAAAGGTTGGGCCCATTACCCTTCGCTACAATAACACATAGGTCCCTCGAAATATTCTTATAACATACAGGCAACATAATTTGCCCTAGAAGTTTGACTGGTGTTTCAGTCCAGGTCCGAAAGGATATTGTAATAGGTTGCAACACAGCATCTGATAAGTGCGAGTATAGTATCTGTCATGTCCGCTCGTTGATGAGACAAAAGCTAGCTCCTGTATCAACTTGCATATGGATTGGTACGCCTGCAAGTGACAACTCCACTTCGTACAGTGGAACACGGCTATTACTGTGAAAGCAATAAACTCCATTTAAATGATCATCAGATTCTGCTATAAACTTTATCTGCTGCGAAGAATTCTTCTTTCTCCAAATGTCCTTTTTTCTTGCAATACCGACACACTGTATTTACAAAACGACACTCTCCTGAATGGCGGTAACCGCAACGATAACAAAAACGGACATTTGCTCTTGATTGTACAGCATTTATATCCATCGGTTCACTTGTACCACTCGCTGAACTGTATGGCAATGCTACTTCTGACTGAGCCATAGCTCCCATTGTGTTGCCTTGAATCATACGAACATCTCGCTCTGCACTTCCAGCTGATAACATCGCATCAACTACAACTTGATAACGCAAATTGTCTCGTTTCAATAACTCGTATTGCAGTTTACTATCACACATACCACATACCAGTCTGTCATGTAACATTCTTTTTAAGTCCGTAAAGTTACATCCAGAACTTAAATTTCGTAAATGAGCAATGTACTCTGAAGCACTTTCATCACGTTTGTGATTACAATTATAAAATTTATAAGACACAGATATTTCATTAGGTTTTGGGCTATAATGATTTGTTAAAATTATTTCTATTTCACTGAATGTCACATCAACCGCTTTTTTTGGCGTAATTAATGCAAGTAATGACTCGTAAACTCGTGAACCACACAATGTGAAAAAATTTGCCCTTTTAGCAGCATCTAATATGACGCCATTAGCCTCAAAACAAAATTTTAAACGATCTAGATAATTGTCCCAACTATCTGTTTGTGGATTGTACTCATCAAATTTCACTGATTTTACGTCCATTTTTAACACTTTTCACCACTCGTCGCCACTAATATGTTCAGAGTATAGAATAAAACACAGAGGTTGAATATTGTTATGTATTAAGCTTGGTAGCATGACAAAAGACAAAGACTTCATAAGTGAATATTAAATTACCTACATTCAATTTACTGTAAACAAGTACCCCCAAATAAAATAACAATAAATCTTTGAATATGACACAAGGCAAGTCTTATCCGAAGAATCCGAATCCTTCAGAAGCTTATTTATTCCGGCTTCTATGGTGGCACTACTGTGGAGGCGTGGAGCAAAAGTTCGGTGGTCTTCTGCTTTAAGAAAGGCAACAACGCTCTCTTGAAGGACTGTAGACCGTTGTCCCTTCTGAGCCGTGTCTATGTGCTGTTTTCGAAAATCATTACAAATCGTCTCGCATGCAGACTATGACTTCAAGCCTCACGAACAAGCCGGTTTCCGAAAAGGCTTTAGTACCTTAGACCACATACATATCCTTCGGCAAATTGTACAGAAGAACGAAGAGTAAAATCTGCTACTTTGTCTTGCGTATGTGGACTATGAGTAAACATTTGATTCTGGCGAAATTTGGGCTGTGCTACATCCCTTTCAGCGGTGCCAAGTTGATAAGCGGTATATTGAAGTGTTAAAATGTTTGTACAGTACAGCTATGATGGCTATTTGACTACAGTACCAGAGTACGAAACCTATTCAACTACAGAGAGGTGTAAAAAAGTGTAACGTTATATCTTCGAAACTGTTAGCTGCTACATTGGTAGACGTATTCAAGCTATTGGACTTGAAATGATACAGTATTAACATGAATGGCAATTGCCGACGATATAGTCCTTATGGCAGAATCGCTGGAGTACCTTTTGCTCAATGACCTCAATAAAGTCTCTCAACAGGATGGGTCTTACGATGAACATGAACAAAACAAAAGCCGTGTGTAACATCCATGTCAACACTTATGCTAGTAGTTGTTAGTAACACTACGCTCGAAGTTGTAGATGAGTATTTTTATCTGGGACAAGTAGTCCGACTAGGTAAGTCCAACTTTGACCGCGAGATCAATCGACGGATTCAACTCGGTTCTGTTGGGTCGGTGTCTGGTTCGGATCTGAAAGGTGGTGGCTGTCTGAGGAAGCTCAAAGTCGTTTAGCGAATTATGGAGAGGGCTTTGCTCGGGATTTCCCTGCGCGGTAGACTCAAAAATGAGGATATCCGCTGTAAAAGTAGAGTAATCGACGTAGCCTAACGGATTAGTAAGCTGAAGTGGCAATGGGCTGACCTTATAGCTCTATCAACCGAGAACCGATGGGTAAGAAAGGTTCTCAGGTGGCAGTCTCGTACTAGTTGGCGAAGTGTAGGGCGGCCCCCCTAGAGAAGAGAGCGGTGTAGATGAAGTGATGAACTGATGAGACATGCAAGAAGTCGATGGATGCAGGTGGAACAACGTTATGCTTTGTGACATTTGTAGCCTAAGTTCAGTAGTGGACATGCAAAGAGTGGTAATGATGATTAATAAGTTTATTTGCTTTGTTTTTTTACACCATGATGATGTAGATTCCTGATGAATGTCTGATGGTATTGCAGGACCACCTGGTGATGCATAGTCGGTTCCACGGGTCGCTGTCGCCGTTCGTGTGCCCGGACTGCGGCGCGGCGTTCGCGCGCAAGTTCCAGCTGGTGCAGCACGGGCGCGCGCACGGCCGCGTGCCGCACGCCTGCCCCGTCTGCGGCAAGGAGTTCCTGCAGAAGCGCACCCTCGTGGCGCACATGAAGTCAGTACATCACATCGCATCACACATCACACATGTAGTGACACACAACGTTCGCGCGCATTTCCAGCTGGTGCAGCACGGGCGCGCGCACGGCCGCGTGCCGCTCGCCGCCCCGTTTGCGGCAAGGAGTTCCTGCAGAAGCGCACCCTCGTGGCGCATATGAAGTCGGTACTCAACTGCTGCCACAACAACCACACCACACTACACCATAATACACATTGTGGTGTTACCCAACTGCATCCCTACCAAATAGCATCAAATCACTGCATACCAGCATTGTATTGTTACGAACACCATACCATGTCACTCTATACCGTATAAGGCCCGTACCATATAAGGATTTATCATCACACCATACCATACAATTCCACACCATACCATTCCACTCCATACCACTGGCGAAGCTATGGCTCCAAACTAGGGAAGCCCAAGATATGGTTTTGTTGTTTTTAGCAGTTTTATAAAAATACACCAATCTTGATCTGTTTCCACTCTACAGTTTCATTTTCAGTGCTGTCGAGGAGGTGTTTAACAAAGCACACAGACTGCTCGATAAGATTGTATGACGAATTTTGACAATTTTATAAAACTCTAGTTTTCGTTACATCAGCTACAGAATAAATAATGTGCAAAATAAACACAAAAAGTAACATTTTTGTATTTCATTTTGCTTTTAGTTTTAAATGTAAGTTCTTTCCACACACATAAATTGACATTTTGGGAACAACACCTGGCATAAAATTTTGCAACTTTTCATATTATTTTAGATGTACTATTTATTATTTATTGCTAACAATTACATACTTTACAACATCAATTCGCTCGGGTAGGATCTATTCATGGGGCGATATTTACTTCACGTCACTTATTTTTTTACATTCTTGACGAAAGTATTTATAAATATCATGCGGAAACATTTCTCAGATGTGCTGAAATGTTTTCCTTCAAAGCTAAATATGTGGTAAATTAACTCTTGAAAATCTTCAAATTATTTTATTCAATGTCAAATATTTTTATCCAAAATTGGCTTCAACAAAGCATGTTTTGAAAGTCAAATGCTACGCTACTTCCTACCGCGGAAAACCTTGTGGAACTAGCGGCAAGAATTTTTATCTCAACAGTTACAATTTTGCCTTATAAAATATATACATAAGTAAAAAGAAGTCTAAGGAAGCTCATTATATCCACACATTTTCCCATTTTATAACATCCTCTCTCCATAAGAATGCTTTTTACGTTTCCGTTGAATTTCTGCAAAAGAAAATCAGTAATGTGACAGGGAATCGTATTATAAATAGTTATGCATCTATCCAACATCTATCGTAATGAGCCGCCAGTTATAAAGAGTCTGTACTTTAGAATAGCTTAGATTTTTTACCTGCTAAACTATAGGCATCACTAATTTTGTCAAAGGTATCAAATTAGATCCTTACATAAATAATATTGTCAAAAATAAATTGTTTTTAAACAGTTAAGATGTTCGTTTCTTTAAAATGGTTTCTGAGTGAGTGCATTGGTTCAATATAGTCAGCTCTTTTTTGTATAAAATTAGTGCCAATCCAAATTTTTGAGACTAGTACCTTGAGTTAGCAGAAATGGAAATTTCGTTGTTAATGTCCTCCAGCCCAAATTTCGGCCACGGCGGCCAGTTCAAATTAGCCATGTGAGCTGGACAAGATTATAGTGTCCGAGTGTATGCGCCAAGCATGGGTGCATTCGATTCCATCACTCTCCTGCCATGTCCGAAGAGGGATCAAGTGCAGAACCAAGAGCAATATAAATTTTATTGATTTTTGTCTAGCAATGGATAGATGTTTTGTGCACGTAGTTTTTAGGATTGATTTCCACTGTTGTCTTCAAAAGATACTATTATTCCAGAATCCATACGGGAGAGGGAGTTGTTGCGTGCTTCGAATGCGGCGAGGCGTTCAAAAGTAAATCAGAGCTTCAACAACATTGTAAAATGACAAGACACTGTTTGAACACGCCACAGACGCAACAACAGCAAACTCAGCAACAAGTGCAACAGCAGCAGCAACAACAACAGCAACAAGTACAACAACAACAGCACAACAACAACAACAGCAGCAGCAACAGCAACAGCAACAGCAGCAACAACAACAACAGCAACAACAGCAGCAGCAGCAACAACAACAACAAACAACTGTGATAAAGCAAGATGATTTCAAACCACAAATAGTTCAGGTAATTTATTATATCAGTAGCAGACGGAGCATAGTAAAACCAATCTGATAATTACTATACTTCTGATAATTTAGAAATTGGTATTCTGTTACCACCTTCCGAAGGATGTTAGAATTTTTCACACCCATTAGTTGCCTTATATGAAACTCATCGAACATAAGGCCTTTGTTCCGAAATAGAACCCAGTATTTTTTTTATAGAAGAGGGGGCAAACGAGCATGCGGCTCACCTGATGTTAAGTGACTATCGCCGCCCATGATCAACCGCAACACCAGGGGAATTGCAGGTGCGTTGCCGGCCCTTTAGAAAGGAGTAAGCTCTTTTCTTGAAGGTCCCCAGGTCGTATCGGTTCGGAAAAATCGCCGGTGGTAAACTATTCCACGCGGAAGAAAATTCCTTCTGAAACGTACAGTGGTGGACCGTCAAGCATCCAGGTGGTGTTGATGGTATCGGGACGTTTGCTGCGTAGTGCGTTCACGAAATTTGGCGGCTGGCATTCACGAAATTCGGCGGCTGGGATTAATCCGAACAATTCCTCAGGGCACTCCCCGTGGTAGAAGCGATAAAATACGCAAAGAGATGCAACATCTCTTCGCAACGTCAGTGAATCGAGCCGATCTGAAAGCACTTGGTCATCGACGATTCGAGCCGCTCTGCACAGGATGCGGTCAAGTGGAAGGAGCTGGTACTGGGGAGTTCCAGCCCAAAGATGGGAACAGTATTCCATGTGCGGCCGAACCTGCGCATTGTGAAGTTGCAGGCGGTGTGCTGGCATGAAATACTGTCCCGCTCTGCTGAGCACGTCAAGCTTTTTAGAGGCCAATTTGGCCTTCTCTTCCAAGTGACCACGAAACTGCACTCTACTCGATATGTCGACACCGAGGATTCCGATACTGGCTGAGGCAACAAGGGGAGTGCCTTGAAACTGAGGAGATACGACAAAGGGGTTCTTTTTGGCGGTTAACGCGCAAACTTGTGTCTTCTGAGGGTTAAACTGGACAAGATTTAGTTGCCCCCAACCCGAGACTGTTCAGCAAAGACTTCAGACACAAGTTTGTCCCGGTACTCGGAGAAGTTTTCCCGAGAAATGGAAAATACTGGCGAATGCAAATGACGTCCTTAATTGACGCCATATTGTGTTGGATATCCCGCCATATTAAAACTATTTTTAATTGTGTGTACGCGGAATGAAGCATGCCAGAATTTGTTTTTATTTATTCAAATACATAAAATGGCAGAGCTGATACAGTTAAATCTGTACGATGAAGAGAATGAGAAATCATACTCATTCTTTGTTACTGAGGAGAGTGGTCAAGAGCATGTATGATGTCATATACTGGCCAATGTTTTGAAACGAATCACCAGTATAGCATTGATTTATGACGTCATTTACATTGGCCAGTATACTGGATTCTATTTCGGAACACATGCAAGATTTCTGAACCTGCAAAAACTAATTTATCAAACTTATATGAGTTTAATTGCTCAAAGTTAATTAGCCGTTTAGATCTCCAAGATGAACTAGTAGATGCATACTTTAATGATAAGCTTTTTTCATAATTATTTTTTTTTATTAATAAACAACTTTCGATATTTAAGTTAGTTATTTCAAGTGTTTGTTTAAGGTTATTGGTGCTGATGGTCAAATACTAACAGAAAAAACATCTCCAGGATATGCATGTCCAGAGTGTGGGTCATGTTTCAACACAAAGGTTTGTAAATTCTATTAAGTAAGACATTTATATATGTGCCATAAATATCATTGATGTTCTAAATGCCCAATGTATAAATGGTTTGAATCGAAGAAAAAAAACGAGCGAACCTTGCGGTAGTCGCATATGATGTGTAACATTAATAAAATTAAAAATATCAATTGAACAGCACCAAAAATTAACCTCAAAATTTAAAAAAGCTATTTGTTTTTTTAATGAAACTGTGCAATTTATTAATGTAGTTTGCACATATCAATTAGTTTATATAACAGCACACTTTATACACAACACTGTAGGTACAGCTAATGCGTTCTCGTTCTCTATTTTCTTTTCTCTCTCGTCTCACACACGCACACACTGTTGGCTGATAGTATTAACCTCTTGAAAAATGGGTAGGTACCATCATATGGTACACATGGTAGGCCAACTCTACCACTGCGCGCACTTATTGCTCAAATCAAATAGTGCGCGCTTCCCCGGCTTCCTCTTACACACCTCAGTCCTGTTTAAAGAAATCACTTCCATAGATCGTAGGAAAGCGAGTGAAAAGATGATACATTTCAACAAGAATGTATGAAAGTGTATTTCTGTAACTATGTAGCTGCATCGTTTTGAGTTGAGCCGTGCTGTAACTATGTTATGGCCGCAGTTCGAATAATTTGGCTCGATGCTCGAAAAAGCACTCATTTCACAGAATACCATCGTAAAATAGCAGCATAACTCTGCTAATAAATGCTGCTGTCTTTCTTATGTGATTGCAGAGAACTGGCGACTTATTTACCAGTAATGAGGTACTCTATTCCTTAGGACAGATGTTGCATTTGCATTTTAATTCTGAATCGAGGATAAATATAGATTTCAATGTGCTACAGCGTCAACTTACCATTAGCTAGATTGTGTACATTTTCCATCCTTATTAGAATAAATTCAATCTTAAATTACACATTCTGTATATCAGTTATTTGTCTTGTATAGTAACTTTATGCTATTAAAAAAAGCTTAATTTATTTGTTTTTAATTTATTATTTAGTAAAATTTGTGCTTTTAACAATACATTACAGTTAACATGTTTATGTACAAAGTGGCATTGGGCAAGCCATATACCTCGAAGGACCGAAAAGCGATGGGAAAAAAGGTTCTCGAGGGGTAGCTTCGTACCGGTAGGCGAAGTGTAGGGCGACTCCCCACTAGATAGAGTGACAACCTGGTAAAATATGCAGGAAGTCGATGAATGCAAGTGGCTCCGGACCGTGCTTTGTGGCATTACTTAGGGGAGGCCTATGTTCAGCAGTGGACTTGTGAAGTGCTGTAATGATGATGATGATGAGCATGTTCCTGTAATTAAATTTGTAATTTTATCAGAGTGTGGTCTATCCTCGATCGAGCTGACAATTTCATGCTGCAGTAACGTAGTTTTAGCGTTGTGTACTGACGTCTATGTAAATAATGACGATTGAAGATTCACCTTTTTCCTATACGCCTACTCAAGGAAATGTATTAAATTGGGTGCTCGACATCGTTAGTAACAGTTATACAATAATATGTCGGTAATAAAAAGAAAAATTATAAACATATTTAAATGGTATTTATTTCTGTGATACATAGGGAAATCACAAAAATATTTTTTTAAACTAAAAAACAAAAGTTAATGCATTTACTATAACTTCAAAATTTCAGAAACGAAACGTTTCTAAATATGTTTCTTTATTTTGTCTATGGCAATAGATAATGAAGGTTATTTTTGAATAATATTTGAATATTGGGTGCGTTTGGCTTAAAAAAGCGCTAGCATGCGCTTGTAAGCAAAATGGCGTAAGCGGTAAGCGCTGTCAAATTGTAAGAGCATTTCCTCTAGACACGAAGTTGTAATCGGGGAACCTACTAATTTAAATATATGTTTGTAAAGTATTCATATTAAAAACTTACCAATCATGAATTTTTAATAACATACATACATAAACACACACGCCTGTCACCCAGAGGGGTAGGCAGAGACTACAGACTTCCATTTGGCACGATCCTGACACACCTCTCTCGCCTCCTTCACATCCATACACCTCCGCATACATGCTCGTCGGTTAAGGGTACTCCTAATTTGGCCCGTTTTCAATAAATCGCCAATTTGGTCGATAAATTTTCGCCTAGGACGTCCCTTTCCGACTCTGCCATTCACTTCTGCAACATAAATTTTCTTTGTCACTCTTTCCTCATTCATTCTTTCCACATGACCAAACCACCGAAGCATTCCTTTCTTAATCCTGGTCACAACATCATCTTGCAAACCACACTCTTCTCTTATTACACAATTTCTTACCCTGTCATTAAGATTCAGCCCTAACATACTCCTTAACGACCGCATTTCTACTGCGTTCATTCTACTCTCGTGCTTCTTCTGCCACACCCAACTTTCACTACCATATGTTAAAGTAGGGACCAACACAGCATTGTGAATTGCCATACGTGCCTTTTTCGACACATTTTGACTCTTCACAATAGAGTGCAGGGCCCCATTTACTCTATTTCCCGCATTCACTCGTCGTTCTATATCCTTATCATATCTCCCATCCCTGCTAAATACGCAGCCCAAATATACAAACTCATCTACTTGCTCGATCAACTCCCCTTCTATTCTTATTTCACAAATCGTTTTACTTTCTTCTCTTTCAAAAACCATAACCTTCGTCTTACTTGCGTTCACTTTCATACCCCTTTCTTTTAATGATCTGTTCATTAATGTAACCATCATTTGCAACTCGGCCGCCGACGACGCAAGTATAACTTGATCATCGGCGTACAAAAGGCATTTGACGGTTAACTCACCCATTCTTAATCCGCATTCTTCAACTTTCAAATTTTGCAAACAACTGTCCATAAATAGGTTGAACAGCCACGGGGAAGCTACACAGCCCTGTCTGACACCTTTATGGATGTCAAACCAGTCCGAGTAGACCCCGTTGATCCTAACACAAGCACTAGAGTCCCTATAAAGGGACTCCAATGCCCGTATCAAGCCAGCGCTCAACCCAAATGAGTTCAGTGTTTGCCATAGCACATCCCTATTCACTCTGTCATAGGCCTTTTCCAAGTCCATGAACGCACAAAAAACCTTTTGGTTTTTGGCCAAAAACTTCTCCGCGATCATGCGCATGGAAAAGACTTGATCTGTACATCCCATTCCCTTTCTAAATCCTGCTTGCACATCCCAAATTTTTCCATCAGTTTCTTTCATGACCCTTTCAATCAGTACCTTAGCATACAGTTTTCCCACAATGCTAAGAAGGCTGATGCCACGGTAGTTTTTACAGTCCTGCTGCGACCCTTTTCCCTTATATACTGGGACTATCACGGCTTTGCACCAGTCTACCGGTACCCGCTTCAGTTCCCAGCATAAATTAAACAAGGTGTGCAGCAGGCCTGCCACCACTTCCTCTCCAGCCCTTAGCATTTCGAGTGAAACTCTATCATATCCGGCAGCCTTACCTGCTTTCATGCTTTTCATTGCTTTCATTATTTCACCTACACTAATCTCGCTACCTCTTTCCTCTTCTTTCGGAATTTCTACTTCACTTAGTACACACGTTGTCTCCTCACTCATAAACACACTTTCAAAATATTCCTTCCATCTCTTTAAACTCAAAACTTCATCATTCAGAATATAGCCATTCTCGTCTCTTATAGCATTCATCATAGGCTGTTTTGAATGTCCCCTGGCAGTTCTTACAAGTTTCCAGAACATTTTAATATTTGCCTGGAAATTATCCGATATTCTTCTATCATTCTTATCCGTTCTTTCTTGCTTTTTTCTTTCAACTACTTCTTTTACTCTCTTATTAAGATGTCTAAAGACTGCCTTTTTTCTTTCAATATCATCATTCGTACCGCTAGAATTACCAGCCTTTGTTGCTAGTAAATCTAGCCATGCTCTCTTCTTTGCTTCAACTTTCATACGTACCTCATCATTCCACCATAACGTATTATTTTTCCTTTCATTCTTTCTCTTACTAACACCACATACTTCGGTAGCTGCATCCACTAAACCTTTCTTTACATTTTGCCATACATTCTCCAAGTCTAACTCCTTCATACATAATTCATCCAAACCACTTATATTTTCTTTCAGTCTACATTTGAACTTCTTTTTCTCACCTTCATCTTGTAACCTTTCTGTTCTAATACGCTGTAACGCAGTGGTAGACACAGATGACCGATGGCGCCAACGCCTGAATAGACCATTAATTCGGCATAGAACCAAATAATGATCCGTTCCTACGTTAGAACCCCGGTAAACCCTTGTATCTACAACTGCGCCCCTCAATCTTTCATCCACAATTATTAAATCTATCATGCTTCTATCGTCACCTCTTTCCCAAGTATACATGTGAATCCTCTTGTGGCGAAAGCAAGTGTTCGTCACAAAAAGATTCTTTTCCATACATACGGTGAGGAGACTTTCACCATTCTCATTTATACTTTCATCACCAAACGTTCCCAATATCCTTTCATAACCAAGCCTCCTCACCCCAACCCTTCCATTAAAATCTCCTAGAATAATAATATTTTCATTTGACTTACCCTCCATTAACACCATCCTTACCATTTCCCAAAACTGCTCTCGGATATAAGTGGGCTTAGACATGTCTGGGGCGTAGACCCCTAACACAAACAACTTCTTTAAGCCCACTTTCATTCGTATCCACAGCAGTCTTGGGCTTACACATTCATACTCGTTTTAATAACATGTATATGTTTATTCATTTCATTATATTACTTAAAACTAATATTGCACAAAACAACTTATAAACTACTTCAAAACAAACAAATTAAATAAGCAAAATGGCGGATTGTGTCAGCGCTACTGAAGTTAGCAAACGCGTCCTGGCCGAAAACTGTTTAGTTTCGCCATTTTGCTTACAAGCGCTTCCTAGCGCTTTTTTCTGCCAAACGCACCCATTATCTGACACGATTAAATAGGCTGTATGGACATTGGTCATTGCCCATGCCGAAGGAGACTTGGTAACTTCGAGTTTCAACTTTTTTTTTTGCGCACGAAGCAATTGGAAAGGGCTACCCTTTATGTAGGGAGGCGGAAAATTCATTACGCATACCACGATAGCCGGTTTATCCTATGCCTATGGGGACTGGCAACTGGCTGTTTAAGCTTCTTATGCCGTATCGAAAGCGACCCTCTTTTGGGAAAAGAGGGCGCAGACCTTCTCATACGCATTTAGCATTGTGGCTGTGTTTGTGGATAGATTTCGTATTTTTACTTTCGTGGATTTATTTAACTTGGCCCTTGGCTGTTCCTCTTGGATTACAGGACAATAGGTTATTGCACCCATATAATGACAATAATATGCAACTTGGGTTATGAAAGGAATAGAACAGATAAAGTACAGCCTCAGGATGCTTTTCTAGATGAAATTTTATTAATAATTGAAGAAAATAAACAATTCAAAATGTTGAATTTTATTTTTACTTTATTTAATAGAGACTACAAAAATTCGTTATTTTGTGTCCCTTTTAATTTATTCAAACAACTTATCACTAGAACGAGTAATTTTACTACATAACCCACAAATTATAAAACATAATATAAAATAAAAAACCCCAGATCCTGCAAAAATATGATTTTGTATAATGTAAGGAGCAAACATTTAAATCTTCAAAATAATTTTTGTATGTTGTTGTAGTAGTATAGTTGTAGCACGAATGGATCGGCTCGACCAGGGAAGGACGACGCTATCACAGAATACCAGCGTGAAATGGTAGCTTGATGCTGCTGTGGTTCGTATGGTGAGTGTAGAGAACTGGAGACCCTTTTTACTGGAAATGAGGCATTCCATCTTAGTCCTCAAGGGTGACAATGCATCTGCATTTTGATTCGTAATCGAAGATAAATGTAGATATCTATGGGTCACAGAAACCACTTACCATCAGGTGGACTGTGTGCTCGTTTGTCACCCTATCTTATATAAAAAAAGACATAATATTTGAATTTTGTTCACGCCAGGCCCAAGCTTGTATAAAGTATGAACTACGTTCATCTCCTTTAAGTCAAGAAAAAGTAGATAATTTACAACCCACGTCTACAGTTGGGCACATGCCTTCTCATTTCTGAGAGGGTATTTGAGCATGAAAATGTTTGCCGCGCTGTCCCAATGCGGACTTCACATATTTTCGATTTTTTTAAATTTCTTAACTTGGAAGAAACTGACACTAGCGATCTTTTGTTTCCACGTCGAGCACGTAGTAAATCAGCTATAGTAAATCAGCACTCAAATTTGTAATTAACCATGTTGCTAGTGATAACGGGTTTTGAATCCAGGTAAACCCTTGAGTTACCAAGACTCGATAAAAGTGAGACAGAGAGTACAGACATAAAGTTGTTAATGTATTGTTGCAGGAGGCGCTGTCGCTGCACGTGCGGCTGCATGCGGGCGACCGCACGTGCGTGACCGACCTGTGCGCGCTCACCGCCGCGCTGCAGCCCGGCCTCGTCGCCGCGCACCACGCCTCGCACAGTCAGTGACGCGCATACATATATACGCATGCACGCACGCACGCACGCCCGCACGCACACACGCCCAAACGCCCACACGCCCAAACGCCCACACACACACACACACACACACACACACACACACACACACACACACACACACACACACACACACACACACACACACACACACACACACACACACACACACACACACACACACACACACACACACACACACACACACACACACACACACACACACACACACACACACACACACACACACACACACACACACACACACACACACACACACACACACACACACACACACACACACACACACACACACACACACACACACACACACACACACACACACACACACACACACACACACACACACACACACACACACACACACACACACACACACACACACACACACACACACACACACACACACACACACACACACACACACACACACACACACACACACACACACACACACACACACACACACACACACACACACACACACACACACACACACACACACACACACACACACACACACACACACACACACACACACACACACACACACACACACACACACACACACACACACACACACACACACACACACACACACACACACACACACACACACACACACACACACACACACACACACACACACACACACACACACACACACACACACACACACAGACACACACACACACACACAGACACACACAGACACACACAGACACACACAGACACACACAGACACACACAGACACACACAGACACACACAGACACACACAGACACACACAGACACACACAGACACACACAGACACACACAGACACACACAGACACACACAGACACACACAGACACACACAGACACACACAGACACACACAGACACACACAGACACACACAGACACACACAGACACACACAGACACACACAGACACACACAGACACACACAGACACACACAGACACACACAGACACACACAGACACACACAGACACACACAGACACACACAGACACACACAGACACACACAGACACACACAGACACACACAGACACACACAGACACACACAGACACACACAGACACACACAGACACACACAGACACACACAGACACACACAGACACACACAGACACACACAGACACACACAGACACACACAGACACACACAGACACACACAGACACACACAGACACACACAGACACACACAGACACACACAGACACACACAGACACACACAGACACACACAGACACACACAGACACACACAGACACACACAGACACACACAGACACACACAGACACACACAGACACACACAGACACACACAGACACACACAGACACACACAGACACACACAGACACACACAGACACACACAGACACACACAGACACACACAGACACACACAGACACACACAGACACACACAGACACACACAGACACACACAGACACACACAGACACACACAGACACACACAGACACACACAGACACACACAGACACACACAGACACACACAGACACACACAGACACACACAGACACACACAGACACACACAGACACGCACAGACACGCACAGACACGCACAGACACGCACAGACACGCACAGACACGCACAGACACGCACAGACACGCACAGACACGCACAGACACGCACAGACACGCACAGACACGCACAGACACGCACAGACACGCACAGACACGCACAGACACGCACAGACACGCACAGACACGCACAGACACGCACAGACACGCACAGACACGCACAGACACGCACAGACACGCACAGACACGCACAGACACGCACAGACACGCACAGACACAGCACAGACACGCACAGACACGCACAGACACGCACAGACACGCACAGACACGCACAGACACGCACAGACACGCACAGACACGCACAGACACGCACAGACACGCACAGACACGCACAGACACGCACAGACACGCACAGACACGCACAGACACGCACAGACACGCACAGACACGCACAGACACGCACAGACACGCACAGACACGCACAGACACGCACAGACACGCACAGACACGCACAGACACGCACAGACACGCACAGACACGCACAGACACGCACAGACACGCACAGACACGCACAGACACGCACAGACACGCACAGACACGCACAGACACGCACAGACACGCACAGACACGCACAGACACGCACAGACACGCACAGACACGCACAGACACGCACAGACACGCACAGACACGCACAGACACGCACAGACACGCACAGACACGCACAGACACGCACAGACACGCACAGACACGCACAGACACGCACAGACACGCACAGACACGCACAGACACGCACAGACACGCACAGACACGCACAGACACGCACAGACACGCACAGACACGCACAGACACGCACAGACACGCACAGACACGCACAGACACGCACAGACACGCACAGACACGCACAGACACGCACAGACACGCACAGACACGCACAGACACGCACAGACACGCACAGACACGCACAGACACGCACAGACACGCACAGACACGCACAGACACGCACAGACACGCACAGACACGCACAGACACGCACAGACACGCACAGACACGCACAGACACGCACAGACACGCACAGACACGCACAGACACGCACAGACACGCACAGACACGCACAGACACGCACAGACACGCACAGACACGCACAGACACGCACAGACACGCACAGACACGCACAGACACGCACAGACACGCACAGACACGCACAGACACGCACAGACACGCACAGACACGCACAGACACGCACAGACACGCACAGACACGCACAGACACGCACAGACACGCACAGACACGCACAGACACGCACAGACACGCACAGACACGCACAGACACGCACAGACACGCACAGACACGCACAGACACGCACAGACACGCACAGACACGCACAGACACGCACAGACACGCACAGACACGCACAGACACGCACAGACACGCACAGACACGCACAGACACGCACAGACACGCACAGACACGCACAGACACGCACAGACACGCACAGACACGCACAGACACGCACAGACACGCACAGACACGCACAGACACGCACAGACACGCACAGACACGCACAGACACGCACAGACACGCACAGACACGCACAGACACGCACAGACACGCACAGACACGCACAGACACGCACAGACACGCACAGACACGCACAGACACGCACAGACACGCACAGACACGCACAGACACGCACAGACACGCACAGACACGCACAGACACGCACAGACACGCACAGACACGCACAGACACGCACAGACACGCACAGACACGCACAGACACGCACAGACACGCACAGACACGCACAGACACGCACAGACACGCACAGACACGCACAGACACGCACAGACACGCACAGACACGCACAGACACGCACAGACCACGCACACAGACACGCACAGACACGCACAGACACGCACAGACACGCACAGACACGCACAGACACGCACAGACACGCACAGACACGCACAGACACGCACAGACACGCACAGACACGCACAGACACGCACAGACACGCACAGACACGCACAGACACGCACAGACACGCACAGACACGCACAGACACGCACAGACACGCACAGACACGCACAGACACGCACAGACACGCACAGACACGCACAGACACGCACAGACACGCACAGACACGCACAGACACGCACAGACACGCACAGACACGCACAGACACGCACAGACACGCACAGACACGCACAGACACGCACAGACACGCACAGACACGCACAGACACGCACAGACACGCACAGACACGCACAGACACGCACAGACACGCACAGACACGCACAGACACGCACAGACACGCACAGACACGCACAGACACGCACAGACACGCACAGACACGCACAGACACGCACAGACACGCACAGACACGCACAGACACGCACAGACACGCACAGACACGCACAGACACGCACAGACACGCACAGACACGCACAGACACGCACAGACACGCACAGACACGCACAGACACGCACAGACACGCACAGACACGCACAGACACGCACAGACACGCACAGACACGCACAGACACGCACAGACACGCACAGACACGCACAGACACGCACAGACACGCACAGACACGCACAGACACGCACAGACACGCACAGACACGCACAGACACGCACAGACACGCACAGACACGCACAGACACGCACAGACACGCACAGACACGCACAGACACGCACAGACACGCACAGACACGCACAGACACGACAGACACGCAGACACGCAGACACGCAGACACGCAGACACGCAGACACGCAGACACGCAGACACGCAGACACGCAGACACGCAGACACGCAGACACGCAGACACGCAGACACGCAGACACGCAGACACGCAGACACGCAGACACGCAGACACGCAGACACGCAGACACGCAGACACGCAGACACGCAGACACGCAGACACGCAGACACGCAGACACGCAGACACGCAGACACGCAGACACGCAGACACGCAGACACGCAGACACGCAGACACGCAGACACGCAGACACGCAGACACGCAGACACGCAGACACGCAGACACGCAGACACGCAGACACGCAGACACGCAGACACGCAGACACGCAGACACGCAGACACGCAGACACGCAGACACGCAGACACGCAGACACGCAGACACGCAGACACGCAGACACGCAGACACACGCAGACACGCAGACACGCAGACACGCAGACACGCAGACACGCAGACACGCAGACACGCAGACACGCAGACACGCAGACACGCAGACACGCAGACACACAGACACACAGACACACAGACACACAGACACACACACACACAGACACACAGACACACAGACACACAGACACACAGACACACAGACAGACACACAGACACACAGACAGACACACAGACACACAGACAGACACACAGACACACAGACAGACACAC